TCACACTCCAGACACAGTGCCTCTCCTTCCATCTCCACCCCTAAGCAACAATACAGTATTTTTCAGAGGTTCACGGAGTATTTAGCAGTGATAAGACCAGTAGACTACGTGGGAGTCCAGCAACATAGCCATTACGCTAACTGCTGGTCCCGTAAATTCTCTTAAATGAACGAGTGAATGAAAGTAGGAAGCTCCTAGGTCCAATAAACTGGAGTAAAATAACTGTCCTGGGCGAGCAGGAACAGTGGTTGTTGATGATAGTTGGCCTCACTGCTCCACTCTCCACCGAAGAGCAATTTGCAGGTCTGCCTCATTCCAGCGGTTGGACGAGGCCATAGGAAGGAATCTAGAACTGAAGCTGGAAGAATCCGGGCCACGAAGAAGGAAGGGCAGTTGTAAATTGGCCAGTCCCTCGTTTGTCACACTCCAGACACAGTGCCTCTCCTTCCATCTCCACCCCTAAGCAACAATACAGTATTTTTCAGAGGTTCACGGAGTATTTAGCAGTGATAAGACCAGTAGAACTACAGTGTTTTCTTTCTTTTTCATATTTATTTAAAAAAATAGTTTCTAATTTGCCATAAATTGCATGTGCTCCCCAGAAAGAGAGAGAATAAGTGAGAAAGCACCACTGGGGGTACGGCCACACTGCAGTCCTTTCTCCTCTGTTCTCACACACGGCTGATGTTTCTCAAGTCATGGGGTCCAGGACTCAAGCCACACAGTCTGCCATGTGGCTTCCAGCTGCTCTGACCTGCCATGCCACCAACTGGCCCTCTTTCTTATTTATTTATGATTACTTACAAACGACATCATATATAGCATAATTATATATAACGCCCAAACACAGAACTGAAGCATAGTGGAATTGGGTTTTCTATAAATGTCCAAACTTTTTTTTTAATAAAGCTTTTTAAGAAAAGAATGATTTATTTAATTTTATTCATTATTGTTATTATTATTCTTTTGGAGAAGTTTTTGCTGTAGGGGGCGTGTGCTCTCCGGAAAGACAGAGAGAGACAGAGACAGAAAGTGAGAAATCGCCCCCCAGGGGGGATGGCCACAGCACAATCCCTTCTCCTCCATTCTCCTCTTGGGATCTTGGGCACGCACGCACATGCACCCGGTGTGAGTTTAAGCCCCCAGGTCTGGGACTCTAACCACAGTCGACTACATGGGAGTTCAGTGACATAGCCATATGCCAACTGCTGGTCCCAATTGTTACTATTTTTTAATTTTCTGTAGGACACATGCACTCATCAGATAGAGACAGAGGGAGAGAAAGTGAGAGGGAAAGTGAGAAAACAAGCTGTCAGGTCCAGGACTCAAACCGTAGTCATCCATGTGGGAGTGCAGTGCCCTAACCACCATGCCACCTGCTGGATCTACATCCAAGCTTCGGTATATCCTTTCTGTGTGGTTCAGACATGCTGCTATTGCTCTAAGATGTCTAGAAGCCAGTCCTCTTTTGGAATGGCCTTAAAAGCAGTCAGGACCCACACAGCATCTCTTATCTCTGTTCTCTATGAATATTACCCAGTTTGTTCTCCTGTCCCCTTCTCTGGAAATGAGGCAAGTTCCATTTCCAACAATTAAATGAACTTTTAAAGGACAAAGATTTGGCACCATTGATGATATTCCGAATAATGAGATGTTGTCTTTAAAAACAATTCCAATTCCAAAAGGAGTTCCCAGAACATTGTGAACAGTAGTAGCATTGTGATCACAGATAGCAGTGATCAGCTTCAAGAGCAACTCTTACTTGGAAGTAAATATTTTGGTAAGCCTTTGGAACTTGCTGAGAGGGAATGAGTTTGGGCGGCTGGTGGTATAATGTGAACCGTAGGACAGCGCCGTGAGTTAGACTCACCTGCCCAGACTGTTGGTTGGTTAGTGGCTGTGTCAGCCTGGAGCTCCACTCATGTCTTTATTACTAGCTTAGTAGGTTTCTCAGATTTGCAGATGACATAGCCCTGGAGGGTAGAGTTAGTAGATAGAATAGAAGACGGACATAAAATTCAAAACGTATGTATATAAAACCTTTTATTTGTTGACCTAGTAATTTCACATGTAGACATTTCTTCTAAGAAAACACTCATGGATATGTGTAAAGAAATAAGAGCATTCAGCACAATGTTCGTAATAGTAAGAAATTGAAAGCAATGTAGTTAATAAATTATTCCTACAAAGGAATATTAGTTCACTGCTAAAATGTCATATATATGAAAAATACGCAGGTGTGTTCATAATAAGAGAAATATAAATTAATACTAACCTGAGACACCATTTGCACTCTCATCATAGCAAAATTCACTCCTTGGGAGAGGTTGTGAGGAGGTGGCTACTCTCATGCAGCGCTGGAGAAGATGTAAATTGATAGAATCTTGGGACGGGCAATTTGGAAATACCTATCAAACTATAAATACACAGGGAGCTGCAGATGGCGTAATGGTTAAATCGCTGGACTCCCATGTAGTCAACTGTGGTTTGAGTCTCAGACCTGGTGGCTTAAAAGTCATGCAAGATGTGTGTGCATGCGTGTCCAAGATCCCAAGAGGAGAATGGAGGAGAAGGGACTGTGGCATGGCCACCCCCCTGAGGGGTGATTTCTTGCTTTCTGTCTGTCTCTTTGGTGAGCACATGTGCCCTATAGTAAAAAATCTCTTAAACAAAATTTAAAAACCCACAAATACATATACTTCTTACCATACCCTTCCATTTTCAACCCTGCATCTTACAGATATTTACATACAATGAGAGATGACGTACCAGGTTGTTCACTGTAGTATTATTTTAATACCAAAGATTTTTGTTTTTGTTTTAAATTTTCTTTGTAGAGGTCCTTGCTATAGGGCATGTGTGCTCGCTAGACAGACAGAGACAGACAGAGAGACAGTAGGGATGGCCACGCCACAATCCCTTCTCCTCCATTCTCCTCTCAGGATCTTGGGCACACACACACGTGTGCCTGGCGTGAGTTTTAAGCCACTGGGTCCGGGATGCGAACTGCAGTCGACCACATGGGAATCCAGCGGCATAGTCATCAGGCTAACTGCTGGTCCCACTAGCCAAAGATTTTAAACAACTCAAATGCCCATCAACAAGACACTGGCAAAATAAAATATGGTACATTCATCAGTTAAACAGCTGTAGAAGAGAATAAGGATGCTCCAAGCACAATCTAAAAATATCTTCGACCGAGAAAAGCGAGGAACAAAGCAGTGTATGGTGTGTTATGTGTAACCTTTTGTGTAAAAAGAACAGATGTGAAAAAACTGTTTGCTTGTGTTTTATAGGGCAGTTGTGGAAGAACACCTAAGAAACTAACTATAGTTATTATTTAAGGAGGGATTTGGGAACTAGGTTGATGAAGAATAAGGGTGAGATAAGGACATGCAAACATATTATCACCTATTAGAAGAATGGTGACCACAGAAAGATACTTATAACAATAGTAAGGTGGGAAAAGGTGTGTTGACAATTTTATATAAAGTATGATTCATGTTTTAGAAAACTACCTATAGAAAATAAAGCTTGGAAACTTTTACACCAACAAGTTTTAATATTCCTTGCCTTCAAGTCCTGGGATTACAAGTTAATTATGTTTACTATTTTCTTTCTGGACTTTTCTAAATGTTCTATAATCAACATGTGTTATTCAGTAAACAATAATAATCACCCTAAAAAAGTTTTCCTTTTTTAAGTCAGAGACTGATGTTAGACAGAAATCAACAAGATAAAGCTTAATAAGAATTACTGTAAAATTTTGTTCGTTTCCAAATTGCTTGCACAAGTATAGGATTGTTGGAGACCTAAGTGTTTGAGCGGAGAGGTAGATGACCCCAGGCAGGAATCCTGCTCTGGGAGATTATTGGCTTGGGTCCAGTGCCAAAGCACCTGCCCCTCTAAAGCTGTAATTCTAGCAAAATTATAGAGACATACAGAAAAAACGTCTGTGATAGTGTAACTGAGAGTGGCCTACAAATACTTCTAAGCTGGAAGAAATGCTTAGACATTTACTACAAAACAAGGTTAAATATTGTAGAATAGATGAATTTAGATCAGTGAAGGGTGAGGTGATGAAGTGGGATGGATCATCAAAATGGTAAACACTGCCTGATGTCCAGGTACAGACAGGACTAAGATGTGTTTATGTGGGTCCTTGGGTGATTGTGTAACCAGCGGTTGGAATCCAGTCCCAGGGTGTTTGATTATTATTCATCCTGTTTTTGCTTTTCTAGGACAAGAGAAGGAGGTAGGCCTTCCTTTACCCTTCTCTTTCTTTGTGCTTGTGTTTGAAGGAGCAGCGTTCGTGTGAAGTAGCACTAGACTTTTTCTGGAAATCTCTTCGGGAGATGCAGAAGGAAGAATGGCTGTAGAGACCCCAGTACAGTAGCAATGTTGATAGAACGTTCTTTAGATATTTTTGGTTTTCAGAGTGCTTTCCCATGTACTCTCACTTTTTTTTTTTTAAAGTAATAAAGTTTTTCCATGATCAGGAGAGATAGACAAACACACACACACACCACCACCACCACCACCACCACCATCAGGGTGTTGATGCTGCAGTCCACCCTCAGCCAGCACTTCATCACGGTTGTATGGGTAACTAAAGTACTCAGGGAAGTCTCCAGACACGAACCTGGAACCCTGCCATGTGGGTCAGTCCTGCAGAGCGTTGTGCTTTATTTTATTGCCATACCCACTGTTGGGTCCCAGAGCCACTCCCTCTCCCTCGGTCAGCTACTGTTATTTCAGCATTCTGCATTTTGGGAGCCATAAATGCCACACAGGTGGGAACCGTGTCTTGCCTTCTGTTGGCCCAGCACTTGGCCCAGTGCGGGGCCCAGACAGGTGTTTAGTAAATGAATGAACTGGCCTTCGATTCCTTCACTGTTCTGTTGCAGCTGGAAGGAAGTAGAGTTTTACCTGTTGAGTTACAAACCCTGGCGTGGACAAAGCCTGAGTCTGTGTCTCACTCTTTGCCGCGCTCCCTCCAGCATATCGCACAGATGACAGCCAGCCCTGGGTCTTGCCAGTGGTGAGGAAGGTGGAGCAGAAGCTCGCTAACGACAGCAGCCTGAACCACGAGTATCTGCCCATCCTGGGCCTGGCGGAGTTCCGGTCCTGTGCTTCTCGCCTTGCCCTGGGGGATGACAGCCCAGCGCTCAAGGAGAAGCGGGTAAGTTCGGGATGAGGATGCATCTTCTCTTTAGAAACTGTGGAAGCAAAAAGATGTTGAAACTTCAGTCTGTTCTAAAGTATTAGACGTTGAGTCTATTGACTAGTCATTAAATAAGAGTGGAAGTAGGGCGAATTCAGGAACCTGCTAGCACAAGCCATGTGACCGTGTACAAAGCATGGTGTTTTTGTTCAGTTTTGCCCAGCAGATGATCGGGTTTCTGCTGCTGGGTTTGAAGCAGTCAGTGGAGATGCCAAGGAAAGGATGTAACGGAATCATAAGAAACAGGTTCTAGACCCCGCTCTGCTGCTGCTTTTGACCATAGGCAAGTTATTTTCCCACCTGGCTCCTACAGCTACGTGTCAGAAAAAGACTAACTTGTGGCTCGTGGTCCTGAAGAATCACTTGCATAGGAGACCACTTAAGGGGTCTATGAACCCCTTGAAATTGTATGCAGGATTTTGTGCGTACTTATTTTTGGGGAGAAGGCTCATACCTTCTATCAGATTTTCAGAAGATGTCTGTGGCTCCCAGGAGTTTACGAGCCATAAGTCCAGATGCTCTCTGAAATTCCTACCAGTTCAAATATTCCTTAGTATTCCAGCCTCCATCTCAAGCCCCTCTCTTAATTAAGTGCTTCCTGCTGTGTATCCCCTAGAGATAAATTTAGAAGAACGACACACTTGGAAGCAGACCTAGCCAGACAGACCTTACGTGATACAGGATAGAGTCTCAGGATTGTAGCTCAGAGAGTAGGGAAACCCGTGAGGGCTGGAGAGGGGACTTGAGCGCAACCTTGGAGAATGTGTGAATGAGGCCAGGACACTGGTTTTAAGCTCGAGCCGTACGGTGGTATCAGCTGGGAAGTTTTAAAACCATACTGGGTCAGTGGGTGGCATAGTGGTTAAGGCATTGGGCTCCCACGTGGCCATCCATGGTTCATGTCCTAGATCCGAAGATTTGAAACTCATACCACAGCCGTATGTTGTGTGCAAGCCCAAAATAATCCCAAGAAGAGAATGGAGGAGAAGGCATTGCGGCATGGCCATCCCCTCTGAAGGTGATTTCTCACTTTCTGTCTCTCTCTCTGGCGAGTCCATGTGCCCTATACCAAAAATCTCCATACCAAAAAAATACAACATACCAGTGCTGGACCCTGTGGACCCCATGTCTGACCAGTTAAATCAGAATATGGGAGGGTACTGCCTTTCCTCCTCCTTTTTACACCTTGGCTCCCTGTTTCTCTCTCCCATGGGTGTATTTTTTAAAAACTCCCTAGGTGATTCCAAAGTACAGACAAAAAAAGACAAAGAAGGAGATGAAAAACATTTAGCAAAGGGTTGAAAACCATGAAGTACAGAAGAGGGGAGGAAGGAAAGGAGGAATCATTTCATCTTGAGTGCTAGGAGTCCAGGGACAGGCAGGAGGTAAGCAGGTCGAGGCTGGGAAAGACCTACCTGACTAGAGCTGGGAACCCAGTGGATCAGGCAGGCTGATCTTGGCAGCCAGGGTGGAGGAAGCCAGCTAAGGAAGCCAACGGAAGCCAGCTGAAGGTCTGATAGAGGAATGACCCAATAAAAATGTTGTTTGAAGATAAACCTGGCCAGATGTGTGTGGGAAGAGCTCAGGTTCTTGTAATAGTCCAGTTCCTGTGCAGTGCAAACCAGTCGCCCTTCTGGCTCCACCGGGCCGGTGTGGTAGTGCAGCCCTTGGCTCACGCTTGGATGGAACTGCATCTTGAAGTCATCTTGATTTCTTCCTCCACATGTTTGCAGCAGCTTTCCCCTTCACATGTTACGTTAGCAAGCTGCCCCGATCAGCAGAACAGTAGGGCAGAAAAGGCTGCACGCATGTACATTGTTAGATCAGGAAGCAGGAGGCTCTGGGTGAAGGTCTGGGGACTCAGGTCAATGGCTAGGTAAGTGATTAGTTTAACTAGGGCTTCTTTATTGATAGGAAAGA